GTGAGGAGAGAAGAGGGTCACGATGTCACAGGGAGATGAGATGGCAGGGAAGGGACTGGGGTGGGAGAGGGTATAGGGAGCGAAGCTAGAAGGACATTTAGTGAGGACCTGAGTCCTAGGAATGGACTGAAATCTCCTGAAAGGTCAGAGTGGGTCGGGGATCATCTGCAGACTCTGAAGACAGGTGGGGATGGATTTGGGTTGGGTTCTGTGGCTCTGGAAGGTGCAGTGGTGTCCTTACCTCCAAATTCGTCCTTGCCTTCTTCAAAACATCATGTGTCCTGGTCACTAAAACAACAAAACAGCCCAATAGGTAGAAGTGACCATCTGGGGCCATACTTGCCTAGTGTGTTCCAAAGGGTGTCTTTCTGGCGGCTCAGATCAGGGTCTCCAGCTGCCCCATGCACCCCTCCTTTTGCATCCCCAATTACTCATGGCACAGGAGGTTTGGGGACATCACACTGGTCCGCAGCCCTCCTCCCCACCCCACCCAGTCTGTATGGTCAGGGTCCATCAGCAGCACAAGTGGGGAGCCTGGAAGTCCTCCCACCCCTACTTTCCTCTCTCATCCCCTGGCTCAGGGGCACCCACACTGATTGAAGATAAACTGCTCCATGCTCTCTTTCTGCTGGTTGGCGGTCTTCAGACGCTCCGCTGTGCTCTGAAGGATACTCTCCTGTTTGGACAGTCTGGTTCTCAGTTCCAGAAGTTCCCTTTGCAGGGACTGTCCCTGGGGAAGGGAAACAGGCTCTCTGTCACAGGTCAGAAGGCCTCAAGCACCCGACGCTTTGTGGCTCTTGAAAATCAAAAGCAGGATTCTACAATCCTCTCAATGATTTCTGGACTGGAATCCCTCCAGGAGAGACCCTAGAAGGCTCCAGCTGAGGCCAGCTTAGACTGAGGGCATTAGGTCAGCAGGCTGAGACCCCGGGAGCCCCCATGCACATGGACACAGGCCTCCACTCCTGTGGCGGTAGAGGCCCTGATGCCCAGGCAGTGCCAGGACTCCCAGCAATGGACCAAGAGCACACATTCAGCGCTGACGTTGGTTCTAGTACCGGGCCTCACAGATAAGACTCGCTAGCTGGGCGTGTTTTGCCTGGGGAGACAGTGCAATTCTGTAAATCTCTGGAACAACTTCAAGATGGCAGAACACCCTCTGCCTCAGAACCAGCATAGTTGGGGCCCATAAGGTATTAGTGCTTAAATCTGGCCTCAGGCTCCTAGGCGGGGCTGGTCGGGGGAGATGGAGAAAATTTGCTGTCCACACTCCCCCCGACCAGAGTCCAGGCCTCTTATCTGAGAGCACCTGGTGGTGGGGCGGCTGACTCTTCCAGGCCTGGCCCAGAGATGTGGAGGAAAACCGTGTGTGGGATGCAGTGGGTGGCTCCAGGAAGCTGCTCATCTCATGGTGACATTCTGTGGGGATGGCGTGGGGAAAGGGGATGTCGACATTTTCACAGGTCCCTACATTTTTTGGCTCAGCTAAGTTCAGAAAGTGAAAGAACCCAAACAGGGCGGGAGGAGGAGGGATGTCGTAGGACCTGCCCTGCCAGCCACCACCATGGATGACAGGTCTTCCCTCGGGGACGCTCCCCTAAGGCCCCCCTGTCCCAACTCAACTGTCCAGCTCCTGACCTTTAGGACTTGGGAATTGAGGAGGCAGAGTGGCATTTGGGGCAGAAGCGATGAAGGAGGCTGCCACTCACTGTGCTGTCAGACAGGGCAGGGCTGGGGGAGCTGGGCAGGGCCGCTCGCCAGAACATGGTGAGGAGGGAGGCCGACTCGTCCAGCGTGTGCTGCAGGGCCTGGGCGCTGCTCCCAAGTTCATGGATGCCTTTGCTGCCCGGCACCTGGGAGAAGGGGGAGATAGCCCTGGGCACCAGACTGAGAGATCATTCTCTTCCCCCTGCTCAGGCTCCCCCAGCACAGGGCTCAGGTTTCCCTCATGAGTGAGGCACAGGCATGGGCTTGCTTGAACCTGTGAAACCGTTTTGAAACCTGGAAGCCCTGGATCTCCACTTCAGCAGTGACCTCCAACTTGTAAGAATCACTAGATTCTGACTTCTCTCATACTCTCTGTAAGCTGCTAGTCCTGCTCCGTGCTCTCGGGTCTAAGGTCCCTGATTTTTGCTTTGGCACCCCCATGCGTATCTCTAAATCATACCTCTGCTTCAACTGGGCTGAACCATTTGTAGCTCCAAGGACTGTGCTGCCATTCCCTTTACCTGGAATGCTATCCTCCACCACCCAGAGAAGCTGTGTATCTCACCAGTGGTTCCTCTAGGAGCCTGTGACTTTCCTTGCCTGGCCCAAGGACCCCTTCTGTGTTTGCACCCTCCCAACTCAGAGGATGGCTTCCGACACTGAGCCCAGATCCGCTGTTGTCCTTATTTACTTGGATATGTGGCCTTCTCTCTGGGGTGGAGGCTCTTGCAGACAGGGCTGTCCCTGCACATCCATGCACCTCCAGTGCCTCAAACAGCACAGCAGCTGGTACCTGGTCTCTGAACAGGGAAGCGCTCTGAGAAGGTGTGCTGCCCGCTTCCCTGCCCTGCTCAGTCTGCCCAGAGAAATCCCATGGCTGCCAGGCTTCCCCCCCTTCCACAACATGGGGCCCGTGCGGATGCAAATCCTGAATTTCCAGCCACCTGATTAAGTGATTTTACTCTGCCGATAGATGACCACATGCCAGGGTGACTGGACCAGATAATAAGTGAACAGAGGGTGCTCAGTAGAGCACGACACATAAGCCAATACTCAGCAAATCCCCTACAGATGAGGATGACAATTCTCTTCTGGCTCTTCTGTGTTTCTGAGAGGAAACGTCAGTCAGGGCAAAGTGTATAGTGAAAACAGGAGATGGAGAAGAAAGGCCCAGCTGGGTGTAAGCAGAAGATGTAGACTCGGCTATGGGAGATATGCAGTGGGAGAACGAGCTAAGATCAGAAGGAAAAAGGGCACAAGGAAAAGGAGCACTTAAGACCTACAGTGTGATTACCTCTGTGACCTGAGTGTCAAGGCCAGGGAAGGTGCAGGCTGATCTCACAAGATCTGCTATCTTTTTGACCAGCAGTTTGCCCTCCCCTATCTGCTGTCTTAGGGCGCTGTAGTCATCAATGTGGCCAATGACATGGTGGCCATGCTTACTGGCAAAGGAGCCATCAATAGCTTCACCCTCCAGCTTGGGAGGATTCTTCATCACTGGAGAAGCATCCAAATCCAGCTCTGAAAAACAAGAACAGAACAACATAGAATCCACAGTGATAAGCATATCCTCAGTCCACTTCATTCTAAAATAGACATCAAGGAGTGAAAGAGGCCAGGAATAGGAAAGGCACTCTGGAAAAAGTACAAGCCAGGTGTGAAGTCCATAGATTTCTGGGTTCTATTTTTTGTTTGTTTTTAATTTTTTATTTCTTTTCAGCATAACAGTATTTATTGTTTTTGACCCACACCCAGTGCTGCATGCAATCCGTGCCCTCTAAAATACCCATTGCCTGGTTCCCCCAACCTCCCACCCCCCACCACTTCAAAACCCTCAGATTGTTTTTCAGAGTCCATAGTCTCTCATGGTTCACCTCCCCTTCCAATTTCCCTCAACTCCCTTCTCCTCTCCATCTCCCCTTGTCCTCCATGTTATTTGTTATGCTCCACAAATAAGTGAAACCATATGATAATTGACTCTCTCTGCTTGACTTATCTCACTCAGCATAATCTCTTCCAGTCCAGGTTCTATGTTTTTATGATCTTTCTTACATCATCTCGTAATGATCAAATTGCCAGGAGGCAAAATTTTATCCTTACTGACAAATGAAATATCCAGGACAAATATTATTTTAATACATTTTTTTTTTAATTTTAAATTTCCAGTTAAGAAGACACAGACAAACTAAGGGTTCTGGAAGGGAGGGGAGTGAGGGGTTGGGAAGGGCCTGGTGGTGGGTATTAAGGAAAGCACATATTGCATGGAGCACTGGGTGTGGTGCATAAACAATTGAATCTTGGAGCACTGAAAAAATAAAATAATAAAATAAGGTAAATAAAAAATAAACCCACTTTTCAAAAGAAGACACAGATAAAGAAATTAAGCCGGACACAGAGGGCACTTTCAAGGATGGAGAGATCACCACACTGTGAAGCAAAACAGAGCAATAGGAAAACTACAGGAGGAAGAATAATGGCAAAACAGGGGGCCACAGAAGGTGCAATGAGTAGGGCTAAAGACTTTGGGACCCAAGAAGAAAAATCTCTACATTCAGGTAATGTGCCCATTAGTAACCAAAGGCTACTTGTATTGGTAATTCTCCATTATCAATCCCTGAATCCTTCCGTTGCCATATTTACCATTTGTCCTCTTGAAAATGGTGGTGCTGAGCCAGGAGCAGCAGCAGAAAGGCTAGGGAATGTGAGCGCTGGAGAGTTCATGCCAACATCTCGGACTGGAGGGGAAGCAATGGAGTCTAGGGTGTAAAGACAACAATTTTCGGGAACCCTGGAACCACCACTAACCAAACCCACGCAACAGCCTAGTCATCACTAGCAGATACCTAAGGCAGCATGGATTGTCCTCATTACACCCCAACCATGACGATAAGCAACAGCAAACAAATCCCTTAGTTTGGAACAAGAACATGTCCCTTTAATAGAAGTGAGCTCCATGAGAAGCAACTTCTGGTTTGAAAGATTATTAGGTGCATTTTTCTAGCCTGCGTTTTGAATATAATTATGTATGCAATTTTTAATACACTGCCTTGTAACTAAACCTATGATGTGGAGAACAAAGGCAAAAGGAAATGTACATAAAGTTAAATTTCCTTATAACCTGTAGTCCATTGACAAACACTTGAGGCAGGCAGAATAAGACATTACAGGAACCCCAACTGTCTTAAACTTAATGACCTACTAGAGGGAAAAACAGTCTTAGCTTGACAAAAGCCTGGCCTCCAGGATCTCATGGGTCTCCTTTAGCATATTAAAGTCCTTTTGGAAACTTCCCTTTGCCTGTAGCTCCCCCAGTTCCAAAGTATATAATCAATGGCTCCTCACAACCCCAGTGCCACTCTTTCTGCCCACTGGTCCTGTCCCTGTGCTATCATAAAAACAACTTTTTGCACAGAAAATGTCTCAAGAATTCTTTCTTGAGCTCTGAACCCCAATATTTCCACATCAAATATGTGTAGTATATGTGTCAAAAATACTGAATCAAAGTATGAATGGACTTGTGGGCAATTAAATTAGCATTCCAATCACCATTCTGATGAGTTAGTGATGGGAAAAAATGTAGCAGGATGAGAAGGGTAGAGACAGAAGGCGTGACAGGTTTGAGACACCCTCCTGGAGACCAGGCAGCAATTCTACAGTGGAAGAATTGGAAAATATCAGAGAAGGCAGGAAGTCCTGCTCAGGAGGTGGCCTAGAACCAGCCCTCCAGCTCAGGCCATTGTGGTGGGTAAGGAGCAGTCACAGTGTCAGAGTCACTGGGGCTGAGTCCTAGCTGGGGTCGTGGAGACGCAGTGACGGAGGAAAGCTGGCCATGAGGGCAGAGCGAGGAGTTATAACTGAACACTACAACCATCATGGCTCCCCAGGGAGAGCCAGCCATCCACCCTATTGTGGCTGAGCAGTTACTATGGGACACCATTCACATGACACTTTCTCATCTAATGGCCACAACACAGGATCTTGGAAGTGTCACCTTCATTTGACAAGTCAGTGCCTAATTAGTGAAAATCTAGCAGGACTGGGGGGAAAAACTAAGGATTAACATGCCCCAAGAAGAGCAGGCAGGAA